GGCCCCGCTCCACCAGGTCCATGTCTCTCCTGTGCTGAGGCCCCCGAGCTGGAGGCAGCACTGCAGGGGGGTCTCCCCAGAGCAGAGCAGAGCGCAGCAGAGGGGCAGAATTAGCCCACCCCATGCAATTCCCTGCGGCGTTTGGAACCAGGCACGATGCATGGCATGTAAACGAAGCCGAAGCAGCCTGCCGGGGAGGCTGCGGTGTCTGTTCTGATGGGGTTTCCTCTGTCTGCCCCAGGAGGTGATCCGGGACTGGCAGCAAGCCGCGAGCAACGTCCTTGTTGCGGTGGGGCAGCGCTTCATCAACAAGGTGATGGAGGAGGTGCTCACCAAATTTCAGCCGGGGATCCTGCCGCACTACTTTGTCATGCAGACATTTGCAAACCTCTCTGTGTCAAACGGTGAGTTGGCGACCTGCCGCCTCCGTGCGCGGCTGCCGGTCTGGGTTGGAAAGAGCCGTGGAAGCGTGTCCTGTGCTTCGGGTGTTGTGGTTCAGACCGTACCCAAATAGCTCTGCAGTGGGGCACCCCCACGGTGCGCTGCGTGCTGAGCCAACCACCGCGCTTCAAGACCAACTTCTCGGGGGCTTACAGCTTAGAGCTGATGCTGCTAAACAATGGAGGTGCGATGAAATGCACCGACAAAGCAGTGAGCACCAGTATGGCAAGGAGGAGTGCTGTCCGTGTGAGTGGCTTGCTTGTCGTGTCCTTTATTCCCCTCCTCTTCAGAAGAGATGGGACACGAGAAGAGGAAGGCCGGTGCTGCGGGGAGCTGGCCTTGGCAGCAGATTTGGAAAACCCTGCTCTCTTCTTGGCTGCTCTTCATGGGGAGCTGCTGGGACTCAGTCCCCAGCGCTGAGCCGGGGGCAGCCCCTCGTCTAGGGATGACGGGGGAGTACGGGCGGGCAGTGTGAGCTGGCTTGGCTCGTCCCGCAGCAGCCTGAGCAGAGCTCCGGACACCATGCTGCTCCGGGACCTCTCTGGTTCTCCCGGTGGCTCTGGAAGGGGGGAGCTCTGCTCGGTGCCCTGGGGAAAAGGGAAAGCCGTGGTGGCAGCCTCTGCTCTGCCCTGGGGTGCCGGTACTTGGCCGTGTCTCTCTGCAGTGGCTGGAGGAAGCGCTGCTCACAGGGACGGAGGGATGTGATGCTCTGTGTCCAGCTGCAGCCCTGGACAGGAGAGGGGGCTCCTGGCAGTGCCCAGAGCGCAGAGGGGTCCCTGTGAAAGTACGCTGAGCTTAGAAAACCCGTGCAGCTTGGCTTCAGGGCTCTGCTCAGCTCTTTGAAACATTTGCC